CTGGTGAGAACGGGATGCCAAGGGCTCTCTTTACAGAAATGTAGTTATGAACCTTACCTGTAACTTCTCAGAGGTATGTATTTTCAGGAAAGAGAGTTCAGGAGAGAATTAAGCTTGGTTTTCTTCTGCTTTCAGTAAACTGTACACAAACATAACTGGGGTATTTTCCTTATGAAGCATTGTTCAATCAGTCACCCTCAATCATAAATCAAAGTAAGGGGGGGTCTCTGTGAAGCAGAGGAATTGACCTTAATGATACAGATGCTTTGGGAAGAATTATACAAGATATTCATTGTTGGATATAAGAGAGAATGCCCATAAGACTGGCAGACCCAGTATACTTCAAGCCAGGGGATTCTACTTGGGTTATATGGAATGGGTCCCATCCCGTAATCTTGTCCACTCCCACTGCTGTTAAAATTACACGAACTATATTTGGACCCATCACAGTTGGCTCAAGCCACTGGCCTGAGGCAGGTGGACCAGCAAACAGGATCTAGACTATCCAAACCAGCTGAGCTTGAAATGAGACCAAACTGCCACCAAATACAACAGCCCTGCTCGAGCCACCCTGGAAACTGACTATGCAAAACTGGAGACTGAGGAAGCCACAGCTCTGCCCGTGTCACTGTGGAAGCCAATCAGTCCACACAGAGCTGAAGCTTGAGGACTGATGTGGAGTTACAATACCCACAGAAGTCCCCTTTCCTTTCTGTTATAACTTCCTTGCTTCGGTCAGGGAAAATCCTTACAGGAATGCCCCCACTGCATTTATATCACATGATTGTGAAAGATTATAACAAGGACCCTGCTATATCATACCTATTATGAGTGTAGAGGGATATACCAGGGACCTTGCACTCACAATCAGACAGACTACTCAGTCTGTGACTCGGGAGATAATTGATGTTATGTCTGTTATGACCCTAAATCTCTGCCTTCTACGTCTTGCTTCAAGATCCATGCTTGAAAAAAAAGAAAATGGTGATAGTGGCCTCCTAAACAAAACCAGAGTTCCTGCAAATCACAAAGAGGCCCCTTTCTTATATTTTTATGTGTGGTAGCCTGTGTATCTGGATCCATCTGCAGCCTCATGCAGAGACCTATTATGAGAAAGATGCTATAGAGACACTGCTGTATTTTTATGTGACTCACAGAAAGGGACCAGCTTTTACTATTGCCCCACCCCAATCATAACAAGATAACAAATGGTATTGCTTACATTGCATAACCTGGGCCATTGATTTGTGGCCTCTTGAAAAATTCAGCTCAGAGCCTCTAACTGTCCCAAGCAAGGGACAGTTATCTTTACAAGAATACTCATCAAATCAGCTTGCCCACCTAAGACCTATTATCTAGAAAACTTCACCATTCTTCTGGTAAACTTGCCCCCAAAAGATACAGATTACCCTAGGATGTTAAAGGTTGGTCATGCAACTTCAGATCCCAAGCATATGCATATGTTTTCAAGGAGATTCAAACTCATTTGGCACAGAAGTTCCAAGTTTTAAACTCATTTTATGAACAGCTCCCACCAGTGTTACCTGAAACTTCCCCTTTAGTACCAAACTTGTTCACCTAGATAGCTGGAAATATAGCCCACAACCTCAGGGTCACCTCATGTTTTATCTGTGGGGGACTAACATGGAAGGGGCCATGGCAAGCAAGGGAATTGCTGCCACAGGACAAACTCTACACACAGCTTTCTTGATTCTGCTATCACAAACCTTAGTATTTACCATCTAAAGACCTTGATCATAGGGAGGTATTATGTTTTACACTGAGGAAAGTCCTTCTCAGATCTAGTGGGACAACTAACTTGTTTAGGACAGCAGTATTACAAAACTCAGAAAAACTTTATGGTAGGCAAAACAAAACATATTGCAGCTATCTCTCCCAAACTCATTTTTCCATATACCTTCTTTGTGTCATTCTTGGTACCTACTAGAGGCTCTAAATATTTAGGAGACACCCTCTTAACTTTACTGAGTATATGGGTTATGAGCAGATCAGCAGTTACAAGCTAGGTGGACAAGGAATTGCACACACTGGGGAAAATCATACTATCCTTCTTCCTGAGTCCCAAGAAACAGAGACAAATTCTAGCGTATGCTGTATATAAAGAATCTGATAAGAGTGTCAAAAGTACAATAAAAATAAGAGATTAGAAAGACAATGAATGACCCCTGGAAATAACTATCCAGTATTATGATCTGGCAACCGGGGCGGAAGATGGTATTTGGGGATATGGGACTCCAATTAAATGCTTAACTACATTGTGAGGTTGAGAGGTTGGACTTGAGCTCATTACCAATGACATCACAAAGGTCTTGAATCTGCTTGCTCAAATGTTTTAAAAATGAAAATTACCATTTACCAAAATAGGAGCTTAAGGAAGAGGGCTTTGTGGAAAGTTCAGTGTGACTAAATGTTTCCTAGGGATTGATGACAATGGAAAGGTTATTGAGGACATTACTACCAGAATCCAAAAATTAGCCCATCTCTAAGTCCAAAGTTGGAAAGGATGGTCACCAAACACCTTCTTCAGGGGCTGGATTTTGTCTTTTGGGAATAATAGAATGGTTCTAATCCTAATTGGAATGGCTCCTTCCATCCTAGGAATTTGTTTTATTCTTCCTTATTTTCTGTCCCTGCTTGTAAAGAACAGACAGTCCACCGTAGAGACCTGGAAGACAAGAACTGCACTACCCAATTGATAGCTTTTGTCAAATATCAGCCTCTACTCAGGTTAACAATTGTATTCTTGCAAACAGAGTCCTGTGGCCTTCTGTTCCTCCTGGGATCTGTTTCCTTCAAGACTAACCTCTGCTCTGTTCCTGGTGTGATTGTAATACCCCACTGCATTCACAACATCCAGGTTTATGATATCATGTCTCCACAAAATCAAAAGATTGTTTTTCTCCCCAGCTAAATTACAAAACTATCACTACATAGTAACAACCTTTGTCTGTATTCACACTTGCTTTTGCACTACTAAACAGGTCAACCCCTGGCCATATGTACAAACCTAGAGACTTTTTTTTTTTTTTGAGGCTCAGTCCTTTGGATAGAAGTCTGACTGAGTCAGGTACACCTAATAAAATGCTCCTGTTTACCAGTGGTCGCCCCCATTTCTTAAACTCTTTAACAACTTCACCGAGCATAAATATTGGAGACCATTATGAAGTGGCTCTGAGCAGTATTTAAAATTAACTATTTGGATTTCTACGTTTATCTGTAAGTCTGTCTTATGCCTAGGCTCCTTGCCTAATAATGGGAGCTGATTTATAGTAAGTGAACCTCCGTGAGACTTCTAGTATCCTGTGAGGCCAGAGATACCTCAAAAGGCAAGATGAGGCCCCAGCTGAGGACACCTGGATCAAATATCAACTAAGTAGATAGAAATTACAACTGAAGGCATCTCACTCCTGCAATCTCACTCCTACCATAGCTGTCATCATGGAAATAAGATGGTTCTCCTAAATTGGCATCATTTACTACTCGGAGAAGTCTCTGAAGTGATTCCCAAGGTTCTGCTCATTTTCCAGGCTTTCCTCAATACCCCCACTCTTTTGTTTGGAGATGGAATAAATATAGGAGGTCCAGAGAAGCTCTTTGTCTTAGTCCTCATGAGAGCCACAGAGTTAAGAAGTCTGAAGAGGTTTTGATCCTCCTGGAGGCCTAAAATCATACCACTTGTCTCATTTATTTAAGCCTTTGCCATATACTTGTTTGGGAGATTGTAGATCTAAGTAAGGACCCGATACATAAGGATCATGTTGTTGCAAATGGACAAATGAATTATGCTTCTATAATAGCTATGGTATTCTAATAGGTGCAAAATATGTCACTGTTCCTTTAATGTGCATCTCCCTGATGATTAGTATGACTGAGATCTTTTTCATACATTTTGTGGTCATTTTGTACCCTTGGAAAAATATTAAGGTACTTTGCCCAATTTTTGCCCATGTTACTTATCTTTTAGATGTTGAGTTGTGTGAATTCTTTATGTATTTTGAATACTAATATTTTATCACATATAATGTGGTTCTCAAATATTTTCTCTCAATATTTAGGTTTACTTTTCATTTTGTTCATTTTTTCCATTGCTGTGTAGATTTTTTATTTGATGTACTCCCTAATTTTCAGCCTCATCCCATCTTTCAGTCTTCTCTCTCTCTCTCTCTCTCTCTCTCTCTCTCTCTCTCTCTCTGTCTCTGTCTCTCTCTCTCTCTCTCTCTCTCTCTCTCTCTCTCTCTCTCTCTCTCTCTCTCTGTCTCTCTTTCTTTCAGAGCAGAGATTGAGCTTACAGCCTAGTTCTTCCCAGGCAGGCACATGTGTTGCTGACTTCCAGTATTTTCTTGACCATTATGTCCTTTCCTAGTGCATAAGGAACTCTTAGATCATTTCTTTACTAAGCTGCAATGGATAACATTTTGTGTGGCCACATGTCAGGCTACCCAGGAATGACACCTCAACCACTGTCAGTCAGTCTTAACACCCACTGAGGTGGAAAGTGCCAAATTTATTCTCAGAAAGATAAATGCTGAGGAAGTAAAAAAATAACTTCTCTATAGTTTCTATGTTCACTGTCACGAGACAAGACCTGAAATGATATGAAATGTCATTCATACTGTCATTCAGACTCTCTTTGCTCTTTTCTGCCCAGAATCCTTTCCATAGCTAGGAAATTATTTTTACTCTTTATTAAACAGAAAGGAAAATTAGCTTTCAAATCTTAAAATATTCTTCCAAAATTTATTTTTACATAAAATGTAAATTCACATTCTTTTGAAGAAAATAAAAACTTTCTTTAAAAGGTATTTCTTGCAGTCACAAATGGTTAAGGTTATTGTTTCTGGTATTAGTTAAATTCTAGTAAGAAAGTCAATAAATTTTAAACTGGTTTAAAAGCTACCATTTGTCCTGAAATAATAATTACTATAAATTTAATGAATACACATAGAGAAAAAATAGAAAAAGAGAAAATAGAAAATTCCTTGAACATTTTATTTAAATATATGAGAAAATTTACATAGTAATAAGATACAATTGAATTTTTAATAGGAATAGCACAGGTCTATAAATGCAGAGTACCATGGTTCTTTATAGATTTTCTTGAATAATATTAATGATTTCGTAATAAACTTGATGATAGACATCTAATCCAAACAAAAAGTCTATATGGTTGTAGTAAGAAATAGTCTTATGGTAAATGAGATTTTTTATTTCAGATTGCAAGATTTTAACATCTTCAGGATCAGCCAACAAGTCCCTCTCACCACTCCAGGTTGCAGTTGGCACAGTCATATTTGCTATGCTGTACCATGGAGAAGTTGTCTAAAAATAAATGAGTAAACAAGGGGTTTCACAGAAAATGACCATTAGAATGCTCTATTGATAATTTTCACAACAATGAATTTAAAATTTATTTTAGAATAAGTTGAATCTAGTGTATTCAACTTAATGGAGCTATAAAAGCTGAGAGTATAAAAGAATAAGCATCATAAATTTTATTTAGAAATAAATCATAAACCAAAACTAAATATGTAGCTCATTCCAACTCTGAATATTTAAATTCCAGGTCAAGTCTAATCTCATTGAATTTAATATTCAAATTTTACTTCAGATTTTTAAATATGAGTAGACAACATCAGGCTTGGAGTTTAGCTGAAACAGAAAAGTATGGCGGAAAACCACACACTTTGAGTCAGACAGACGTGGATTTTAATATTTCAGGAGTTTCATCATCCCATTTATACTATTCTTACCACATTCTCATTAACTTTTAAATTGTTTCTGATTATTACTGTTTCTTCTACCTTCCCAGATAGGATAACTGGTTTTAGTGCCAAGAAACACATTTTATCTTTTATTTCCTATTTAACCAAATACAAAGGCATGCATAGTACAAACACAATACTTTTCCTCCTGAAAGGTAATGAATCTTTTACTGACTTTCTCTAGGCTTATCCCAAATAATACTAAAATACATAGAAACATGGAAAAGCAGCTTTGGTTGAATATAATGACATAAATTCAAATCAATATGATTGTCATCTGTCAGACCTTCTCAGAGTGTTATTACACTGTGGAGACTTACAGACAGCCCTGGATCTATACCAAAATCATTTGAGCCAATTAGGAAGAAACGAGTTTTAGGTTACACACAATTATATACCTGATTGAAATGAATCAAGTTAAGATGAGGACTTCCCCAGTCAAAAGCTTTCAAGTGAGTAGAATATAGAAGCTGAAAGAAAACAAAGAAGTAACATCACATTCATTTGTTCATTAGTGCAGCAACTGATTTTAGGTTAGATATGCATTGCACATATGCCCCACTGCACTGGGTCTGTGGTATTTATGTAGGCAGGCTTCTTTGCTTTTCTCTTTAATTATTGTAAAAAATGGAAAGGGTGATAAGAAAGAGGTAACTAAATATAGGATTCTATCTTCACACAAATGCACATCCCAAATTGTTTTAGTACCCAAAGGGAGTCTGTGAGCTTGTGATAATATTAGGCTTTCTCAGAAATCCTCAGGTTCATCTATAGAAGTCAAAAGTGAGTATCTTGCACTGGGACTAGACAGCCTTGCCTCAAAGGACAGAACTCAAAAGACTATTCCAAAAGCCACCCCTTGTCTCACTTCTTAACTTTCTCAAGCTTACTTCTATTATCTGCTTTAAGTCTATTATCCAATTTGATAATGCCTCTTCCCCTGATATGGTTTCATCATAAGGACACCAGGCATCATAAGAACATCAGATTACCTATGATCCTTGAATTTCTAAACTTTATAAGGCTCAACATATTCCTCTTTCTAACTCTTTTGAATTCTCCTCAACTCCTAAAAGTTCTCCATCAACACTGTATCTTAAATTTCTTCTCTAAATGGCTTCACTCACCTTCTTGCTTACTGACAATCTTCCCCTGTAGTTCTTTCAGATGGTGCTACCTCCCTCCATATTTGGCACAATTAGGGATGAGCTTTAAGCTAATTCTCTTGGATATTTACTCCTTCTTAAAGGTAATTCTTACTTTCTCCTCCCTAAGGTGTTTACTCCAAGCTCCAAATTTCATGTCATTAAATCACTCACTATTGTTTGCTGTTGTTATCATCTATTAAACTTAAGGATGTTTTTCCTGTTTAGTTCCTGCTTATTCTAAAACTATTCCTGCCTTTACTGACTTAATCTTTGCAACAATCTTACCTTTAAGTTTATTGACATTTTGTGTTTAATGATCTTATCTTTCACCGTACACAACCATTCACCTTGTGACATCATCATTTTGTTACTGTAGTCCCTTCATAGTCTAATTTTTATTCATTCTCTTTTCTGAATATTACCTGCTAATTCTCTCTAGCATATCAGCTTCAAAAATCCTCAGTTCAGCCATCATGGCTGTGCCAATGTGACTCGGCCACCAAAAATGGAAGAGTGGCCATGGAGCAGGCCCTTTGGGGGTGGGAAGTCATCATGTCGAGGGCCACATGGAAGGCACTGAGTTCATTTGGATTCTGGGCAGCAAATCAAGCTCCAGTCTTTGGTCTTCTGGGAAGAGGGAGTACTAGGCTTCTCTCAGATCAATGGGGCCTGCAGCCTCAAAATCCACAGACTGCTCAAAGATTTTCCACTCAGAAACCAGTCCAACTCAGACACATCAATGATCTACCCTATTTCATGCTCTTCAGAGGCCACCAAAACATCCCTGCAATCGAGAAAGGTGATGACATTGTGTAAAGACTCTTTGGATATGGTCAACTGGAAAGAAATGCAAAAATTAAGCAAGAACATTTTATGAACAAGTTCATGGCAAACCCTGAAGACACCAGATCGCTGGAGACTTGAATTGTTGCCTGGACCATTAAGATGTGCAATTATGAAGAATACATGCAGAAACAACCAAAGAACAAAGTCCACAAATGCTATCTACTGATGCACATTGACCAGAGAAAGATGTCCAAAAATCTCTGGAAGACCAACTATAATATATTTGAGAAGATATTCAGGGAGCTGAGATCAAGTACACCTTAGGAGGACTCTACTACCAAAAAGCCCACCACCACTTCTTGGCCAAGAAGTTCATGTACATCTAAGTTTTCCAGGAGGTACAAAAGCTGAAGAAGCAAAAACCAACCTTAATATCTGCAAAAGCAGCCCAGAGAGAAGATGGCTATCAGAACACAGAGGCTCCTTTCAAAGTTTATAAAGAGGCACTTGAGGAAAACTAATGAAATGTATACAAATTTTTAAAAAATCTTCAGCTCCAGAAAGATCTTCAGCCCATCCATCCTTGCAGTTTTTCATTGTATCTTATTCCCTTTTCAATGTTCCATCTCTCCTCTTTATCCAGTTGAAATCCCACAGTTAATCATTACCATTATTCTCTGACATTTACTCAGCACTTCTCCACTTCTATTGTTTTACAAAAACACAACACAGAAAACTCCAAATCTCTTTTCACTACATGCCTATACTAAAGGGACTAAATAAAACTGGAGGAAAAGCTAAAACCTACGCATATGAAGTCTTTAAACTAGTAATTATAAACCTCACGTGAGCCATTACTCTTGCTCAGCAGTCATGTGTGTCACATTCCCCATTTCTTCACCCAGACTTGTAGGCAGCTATTATAGTTTACATCTATCCCCCAATCTTTTATATTCAGAGGTAGAGCTTTTGGAAGGTAATCATGGCGTGCTTTGCTTATTGATGGATTAATAAAACTGTGAGTTTATGGCTGAATGTATTGTTACAAGTGGGGCTTTTGTGAAGGCAGATCACTGGGAACATAACCTGGAAGCTCCTTCCTTTTCTCTTTGCTTCTTGCCTGCTATGAAATGAATACCTTTCTTCTATTGTGTCCTTCTATCATGATGTTTCTTACTTGGAGCTAGTCAACCGCATGTGGATTAAATCCCCTGAAGTGTGAGACAAAGTTAAACCTCTCCTCCCTCTAACTGTGGGTGTTAGGGATTTTTGTCCCAGTGAGGGAAAATGATTAATACAGAAAATTGGTGCTGGAGAATTGAGAGTATTGCTGTGACTACATCTGACCATGTCACTCAGAAACTTTTGAACTGGTTTATAAAAGAAGTATGGAAAAGTTTGAAAATGTGGGCTAGAGAAGACGTGGAATGCTGTAAACAGATCTTCATGGGTGATTCTGGCCGGAACTTAGAAGACCGGAAAGGTGATAGAAATGTGGCCAGTAAAGGCAAAGTTCCTGAGGTTTCAGTTGGGAATGTCACATAGAGAGAATGCCAAATACCAACTGATTCTCTGCTACTTGTGTCACGCCTTTTCCTACTACTCAGTTTCTTACTCCTCACTTCAGACACACGTGCTTCTTAAATGTCTCCCAGGGAGGCAATAAATGATTCTGAGGGGTAGTCCTAAGAATTGCTCAAGGGGTAGTCATAAGAATTGCCATCTATGAATAAAAAAGCAATTCTTCACCATACACTGAAGCTACCAGTCCCTTGACCTTGAATTTTAAAGCTTCTAGGACTGTGCGAATTTGTATCTTTTCTAAGCTGTCCAAATTATATTATATTATAGCAGCTTGAATGGACTAAGACACACTAGATGTCTACATGGATATTTCCTTCATCTCTCTCAAACCTTCAATGTCACCAACTCACTGAGACTTGCGGTAACAGGGATCTAGAGGCTAGATCTGAAGACGCCCAATGAATACTAAAAGCAGGATGAAGGTTGGCATTTCTATCTTCATTTCTTGTCTCCTTTATTATTTTAAAACCAGTCTATCCTGCATGTAGACATGCTAATCACTTAGGGAATGTCAGTAATACAAAATGTATTTGCCCTAAATTTGCCTGTATCACCCTCTTTCTAAGGACACCGAAATGAGAGTAACTGAAGTAATTTTCACAGATATTCAATTTCCAGCTTTAACTATGTCCAGTTGTAGAACACTTGGAGCAAAGCTTAGAAGTCTCCAGTCATTGCACTCAACCAGCAATCATCCCAGACTCAAAGAAAAGCTCGTACAGACTCCCCACAACGAAGTCAACCCCAAGCACAAATAATTGCCTGTGGTGGGAACTTAGGCTTCCCCTACCGAGCAAGAATGGTCACCTCCTGGGAACTAAAATGCCCCCAAGCCACAAGCATTCTTCCAGAACTATGAAAATAGACCCTAGAGAGTGACAAAATAGACCCCAATCCACCACAGGACTCTATAAGACTCCATAAGACACGCTTTTGTTGACAGCCAGTCTGAGCCTCTTCATACCTGAGGCCTCTTCTGTTCCTCAAACTAAAGCACTTCCTTTATTTAGGGAGCCAGCTTGTTCTTTGTTAGGACCATGCCTTCCCTTTTCATTTTCTTGTACTTCCCAACTAAAGTTTTTACCTGTATATTCGTGCTGACCACCTCAGTTTTGATTTCTACTAGCAGTGGAACCAGGACAAAGCTAGTCATGGTAAGTGATGCTTCCTGAGCCTACTTTCTCTATTCAAAGTAGGACCCACTTCCCAGCGTGTCTGGTCCCTGTTTTCTATTCTTTCCCCTATCACTTTGCCATAGTTTGTATCCCTTTCTAACATATTGTAGTAACTTACTTATTTGACATTTATTCTTTATATACCTATTATAAGATTTTAAGTTTAAGGAGTTTCTATACACTGGTATATCCCATAAACATAGAACAATAAGGGCGATAAATATTATTAGAATGTAGGAATAAAGGAAAATTTTGTTTAGGTTTCCCTAATCTGGCAATCATTGGGAATAAACTAAATCTAAATTATAATATTTTAATAATTCACATCAAAACATTTTTTATAAATGTAGATAAATGTAAACATATACAAACATTGAGAAAGCCTTGCCTAATATAATAATGGTAGTTTAAAAGTTATTTATGGTTCATTAACTTTAAAGAATACTCATAACTGTTATTTTGTTTAATTCTCATAATATTATTGTTAGCACACAGAATTATTCCATTTTAAAAACTGGGAGCTAATTCAGAAAGGTTAAATGAGTTGCTCAATACCTTGTTGCCCAAAAGGTTCAAAGAAATAATTTAATGTTTGATCTTTTGTTCTAAGGAACATGTTCTGCTACATTATTCTGCCTTTCAACATTAAGATTACATTCACACTGGATTTTTCTCTTTATCAGTATCAGTCATTAGACAAATATTAGTTGAGTATCTACCATATGCCAAGAATTTCTGGCTTTGGGATTACAAAAGTATGTAAAACCTGCTTGTGTTTTTCAAGCAGTTCACAACTACACAGAAGAGCAACTGAGTCTAGAAAAGTGTTCCAGTCCAGGCATCAGGAGAACTAGTCTTACTTTTGAATTTCTGGACAGTTAATGAAGGCTGTAGAATAGAAGTTCCTTAGTCAACTGTTCTAATTAACATTTTCTCATTTGTAAAAGTAGACAGTTATACTGCTCTATCATTGATAAATTATGACATTAATATATTTCATAAACTATAAAGAATTATACAAATTGTAATAAATTCAGTTTGTCCTAAATTTATTATTCTATGGCACTGGAATGAACCTTAAATCATAAAGTAAGCCATAAAATATTATAAATTATATAGAGATGCATTTAACATTTATACCTGACTCCAGTGGAATATATTTTGGACAGATGTTCCTGATGGGTCATGTGAGAAATATACATCCAAACGACTCTGAGGGACAAATAAAGTGTTTTGAAAGCATGTTTTTGAATTTAACAAATGAAATGAAAGAGAATTGAAAGTTAACTTTCAATAATATATATATTTTAATTATATATAATAAAAATGTCAAATTACATCTTAAATATGCAAATGTACTTCTTAAATTGAAAATTTTTTACATTAATGTAGAAACCATCATTGGATTTCTAAGTTATTTCATGTCTACTCATGAAAGCAATCAAAATTCACACACACACACACGCCATTAAGAAACTGACAAAATGGAAACAAATTAACAGACCAAAAACAATGGGCCTTAAAACCAGAGAACCGAAAATATTTTGCCCTTAAGATTACTTGCTAATCCTGGGGACTTTGATGTGTCATTCTGAGATTTTAACTCACTGAGGAAAAACAAAAATTAATGCCTAGGACCTGCCAAACATAGAAGATTTAAAAATGAATTTAATTAATTCCAACTTCCATCCTAAGGCACTCTCCATGGTCAATGTGGATTCTATATTATTCAGTCTTAGTCAGAAGTATATCAACCAGTAAATCAATCTACAATCTAAGTTTTTATTCCCTACAAAATCTCTGAGAATAGACACGCAGTTGTCTTTACCTCAATGAGCCCTCAATTGCCTTTAAAAGGCAGTAATATTCTTGCCCAGAAGAAAATGAAAAAGTTTGTCTTATTATGAAATTTCTGAGTAAAAATAAATTTTCAAAATCAGTAAACCTCAGTCAGTCTAAAAAAAGAAAAGTAAGTTCATGAGACGTGGTACCAAACAAAGACAGGCAGAAAGGAAACCTAACAGATATTTTAGATGGCTATCAGAAGTGCACTATAAAGTCCAAGTCTACAGAAATGAAATGGCAACCACTACGGGCTCTGAATCTTGAGGGGAGGAAAACATAAGATGAAAACCTTTCATTAATTCCAACTTCCATCCTAAGGCACTGTCCGAAGTAGTGGAGCAAAAGTCAAGGGAGTGCCAGTCTTGCTGCACAGAATAAAAACAGATCATGGTAGAATTCTCAGCACAAATCCTCAAGTCAAGATGATCTTGGAGTGAAGTGTTTCATGTTCTTAAAGAAGACAACTTTCAACCTAGATTGATGTACCCTGCAAAACTTTCTTTGAAATTTAATGGATAAACAAGATACTTCCATGATAAAGAACAACTGAATAAATTCATGTCAAAACCAACCCCAGAAAGAGTATTGAAAGACATAGTACAGAGAGATAAAAATGACTACAATTTCCAGAAAGAAACCACCAAACAGGACAAGCAATTAAACAAGGGTAAAAACCAGGAAAACAACAGCAGGAAAATAAATCACAGAGTTGAGCCAGTACATATCAGTTATATCCATCAATGTAAATGGACTCAATTCACTAACTAAAAGAAATAGGTTCACAGAATGGATCAAGAAACAGGATCCAACAATATGCTGTATACAAGAAACACATCTAACTCAAAAGGAAATTCATAGACTAAAAGGCAAAGGATGGAAAACAATAGTCCACACAACCTTAGGTTTCCCAGGAAACCTAGGAACCTAGGCAAAAGCAAGGGTAGTTATTCTATTTGCAGACAAAGTAAACTTCAAATCAAAAATGGTCAGATGAGATAAGAAGGTCAATACATACTTGTCAGGGGAATAATTCAAGAGGTAGAGCTAACAATTATAAATATATATGCACCAAATTTAGGAGCACCCAACTATGTAAGACAAATACTAATAGACACAAAAAAACAAATACATGATAACATAGTTATAATAGGGGACCTTAATACCCCATTGTCACAAAGAGATAGATCAAAGAGATAATCAGCAAAGATGTAACAGAACTCAATCAAATCTGTGAACAAATGGACTTAGTAGAATTTTAAAGTGTTCCACGCAACCACATCATACACATTCTTCTCAGCTGTGCATGGGACATTCTCTAAAATAGACCATAGATTAACCCACAGAACATTCTTAAGTAAATGCAAAGGAATTGAAATTATCCCATGCATATTATCTAACCACAGTGCACTGAAATTGGAATTTAACAGCAAAAGAAACTGTAAAACCTACACATGGAAATTAAATAACAATCTCTTGAACAACTAATTGGTTTAAAGGTGAAATTAAAGAAGAAATTGAACTATACCTACAATTCAAGCAAAAGGCAGATACAAAATACTAAAACCTGTGGTACATAGTGGAAGCAGTCCTAAGAGGGAAATATATAGCAAAGAATTACCACATCACAATAATAGAACAAGCACAAAAAACAACTGAATGTTAAACCTCAAGCCTATAGAAAAAGAAGAGCAAGTCAAACCCAAAACTTATAGAAGAAAGGAAATTATAAAGATCAGAGCATTAATTAATACAATTGAGACTAAGAAAACAATACAAAAATTTAATGAATCAAAGAGTTGGTTCTTTGAGAGAATAAACAAAATTAATAAACCTCTAGCCAACCTCATCAACAAAAAGAAAGAAAAAACTCAAATTTGTGCAATAAGGAATGAAAAGGGGGAAATTACTACAGATTTCTAGGAATGTATGAATTACCAAAGCTGAATCAAGAAGATATAACAATTTTGAATTACCCAGTACCAGCTACTGAAATTGAAAATGTGATCAAACACTTACCAACAAAGAAAAGCTCAGGTCCTCATGGATTTACAGCTGAAATCTGTAAGAAATTTAGAGATTTGATGCCAATATACCTCAAACTCTTCAATGAAATTGAAAGGGAAGCAATTCTTTCTAACTCATTTTTGGAGGCAAGTATTATTCTGATATCAAAACCAGAGAAAGACCCAACCAAAAAGAAGACCTATGGGCCAATCTCATTAATGAACATTGATGCAAAAATTCTCCGTAAAATACTAGCAAATAGACTGCAGCAAATCATCAAAAAGATTATACATCATGATCAAGTGGGATTTATCCCAAGAATGCAGGCGTGGTTTAACATATGCAAATCAATAAATGTAATACACCATTTCAAAAGAGTCAAAAACAAATCACATGATCATCTCAATAGATGCAGAATAATCTTTAGTTAAACACTTGTTCATGATAAACTGAAGCCTTTCAGGAAAATGACAAGGAATGTCCACTTCACTACTTCTATTCATTGTAGTTCTGGAAAAAAAATTAGCCAGAGCAATTAGACAAGAGAGAAATAAAAAGAATAAGAATAGGAAAGGAAGAAGTTAAATTATCATGACATGATACTCTACATAGAAGAACCCAAAAAGTTCTATTAAAAGGCAACTAGAGTTAATAAGCAAATTCAGCAGTGTAGTTGGATACAAAGTCAATGATCAAAAATCAATAGCATTCCTGTACACAAACAACAAACTCAAGGAGAGAAAAATTATGGAAAGGACACTTTTCACGATAGCATCAAAAACAATGAAATACTTAGGAATCAAGATAACAAAGGATATAAAAGATCTATACATTGAAAACTATTAATACTCTAAAAAAGGAGATTGAAGAAGATATCAGCAAATGGTGAGATATCCCTTGCTTTTGGTTAGGAAGATCCAATATTGTGAAAATGGCCATACTTCCAAAACTGTTATACAGATTTAATGCAATCCCAATGAAAACACCATTAGCATATCTCACAGAACAAGAGAAAATATTCCTAAAATTTACTTGGAACCAGAAGAGACCTAGAATAGCAAAGGTAGTTCTGGGCAACACAGTCAAGGCAGAAGGCATCTCAATCCCTGACTTGAAACTATACTATAAAGCTACAGTGATTAAAAAAAATCAGTATGGTACTTGTAAGAAATAGATCTGAGGATCAATGGAACAGATTAGAAGATGCAAACAACTACAAAGACACTCAACCATCTTATATTTGACAAAGGAGCTAAACATGTTCACTGGAAAAAAAGAGAGTCTCTTTAAAAAGTGATGCTGGAAAAATTGGCTTTCTACATGCTCAATACTAAAGCTAGACCCATGCCTATCACCATGCACTAAACTAAAGTAAAAAAGGATCAAATATCTAAATATTAAAACAGAAATAGTAAATCTGCTGGAAGACAAGGTCGGTAGAAATCTTGAAGACATAGGGGTAGGCAAAGAGTTCATAAACAAAAGGCAAGCCGCAGAGGAAGTACTTCAAAGAATCAACAACTGGAATCTAATCTTCATCTTATTAAAAAGTTTTTGCACTTCAAAAGAAATGACCAACGAAGTGAAAAGAAAACCCACTGAATGGGAAAGAATTTTAGCCAGTAGTCCCTCAGACAAAGGACTTTTGTATAGAACTTATAGAGTTGAAAATCATCAAGTCCCCAAATTCAAAGACCCAATCCAAAAATGGGCATCTGAGATAAATATGCATTTCTCGGATGAAGACATACGAATGGCAAATAAGTACATGAAGAAATGTTCACCATTGCTGGTCATTCGAGAAACGCAAATTAAAACAGTATTGAGATTTCATTTCACTCCAGAATGAATGAATGCCATCAAAAATCAACCAATAACAAATGTTGGCAGGCTGTGAGGAAAAAGGAACACTTCTCCACTGTTGGTGGGATCATAGATGGGTGCTGCCAGTGTAGAAATCAGTATGGTGATTCCTCAAAAAACTATGATTGGAAGTTGCATTCAATTCAACTATTTCCCTCTTGGGCATTTTCCCAGAAGAACTGAAAATGTCATGTCACAGAGATATAGGTGCACCCATGTTTATAGCAGAACAATTTGTAATAGCTAAATCTTGGAAACAACCAAAATGCCCATCAACTGCAGAATGGATGAAAAAGATGTGATATATTTATACAATGGAATATTACTCAGTTATAAAAAATGATGATCTTGAGGTTTTTATAGGCAAATGGAAGCAACTTGAGACCATAGTCATAAATGAAATAAATCAGACTCACATATGTAAATACTGTATTGTCTCTCTAGTGTAAATAATTAATAATAATAATAAACAGAAAGAATAAGATCCAAAATGTACTATAGATCTGGTAACAATAAAAGGGAAAGAAAGTGCTCAAAAGGACAGAAATACTAGGATAGGGGAATGGAAAAAGGGAAGAAAATAAAGATTATTTGTAATTGGTAAACATATATAAATTTATGTATGTATATGTATGCTAGATAGATAACTATATTACTAATCTCTCAGTTTATCAAAAAGAACAGTTTGTGCTGTCATTGTTTGATTGGCCACTTTTGTATTAAATTTGTAACCTGAACAACTAGTTCTGAGATAAAATGTGTAAATTTTTTTTGTTTTTGTATCGGGGATCAAACTCATGACCTCAAGCTTGCCAGGCAGGCACTTAAGCCACTGAGCTAAATCTCTGGCTCAATAATGTACAATGTATTAATTAGTGTGAATTCCCTGCTTTTTTTCCTTTTTTAAAATTTTGCATCATTTCTATCCTTTTTTCTATTTTGATTTTTTAAATAAAAAATAGGAATTGCACGAGATAGGTTCAAGTGGACTGATTCAAGGTTAACTGTCTTATTGCCCTTACTATTCCTAAATACTTCGTGTGTGAAATTTTTCCACTTTCAACTTTCTACAATCACATATGATTTAAAATACAGCCATATCACAATCTGCAACACTATCAACTTCTGTCCTAGAAGGAATTCTCATAAAAATATAGCATTGAAAAACTATACTACACAAAATATAGAGTGAATGGGTGAGAGTAGAAAGAATAAAGATTATATTTAGGATTCTTCCAAGCTTTTCATAGTAAAAGTATGATAACAGACAGAGAGTATGAGGAAGAGGGGTTGTGAACATCATCCTCTATACCTTCTATGTCAAAAAGTACACTTTTCCTACTTTCTGGGCCAAATGTTAAGAACTGAGTTCCTTTTTTATATTGTGAAATAATTCATATTCCTGTAATTGCCCACATAGTTCTCAGGAATGAGAAAGCACTTTCTGGAGACTAAATAAAATCAGTATGTCTTGATGGCATGAGCATGAAGTGGAGACCTAAGAGAGTACCTGTATTGTTCTGAATGTGATAATTATGCCTCCTTGATAAATAAGGTCTAGGTACAAGAACCAGACACCATCTAAATGCCACAATTGCTTATGCCAAAAACTCTTAGAATGAATGCATACAGCTTTAAAAGAATATGTACACAATCCAAAGAGTCTTGATAATAGTAGCTTCAGCACAGCAGCATTCTTGAGAGTAACAATGAATGCTAGAAGTTTTGATAATTGACAGGTACTGATTCTAATAATAAAAGGGTCAAGAAAGAAGGGGAGGAGTGTTAAGAACCAAGGCATAAGAGGAGTCATGAAAAACTATAAATATAAAAAAAACTCAGAAAACTAAGTCCCAGCAGCAAAAGCTACTAAAGATATTCATCAGAAACAACTGCTCTTTAGTCTTTACAGACAACAAGACAAACACAAAATGGAAATCTCAGCATGCTAATGCGAATTAGTTGTACAATGTTGATGTCATAAAATCAGCTAAGAATCTAACTTCTAGTATATATAGTATGACTTGTATATGTAGATGAATTGTAAATACAATGTACAACATGATTACTTAAAGTTACTTTCTAGAATTGACAAAGAGACAATGCAACTTTTTCTCACCATATTTAAGTTGTCTGGGTCATATCCAAATATCCTAAACAAAGTGTGGAGGCAAATTTTATTAAAACTATGTGATGAACAGAGTTTTGAACCAATAAAATTGTTAAGTGAAGTCTTAGGTAGGAAGTCTTTATTGCCAGAAAAAGCCTGTAAAATAAATTTACTCACATTTAGAAGACCACAATAATTTTAATGAAGTATTTTTTTTTCATTTAGTATCTTTTTTTGAGACAGGATCTTGCCATGTTCCAGGTGGACAATGAGCTCTCTGTAGGCCAGGTTAGCCTCTAAAGCATGATCCTTCTTCCCCAGCCTCCCATAGCAAGATTACAAGTATATACCACCACACTGGCTAAGGCCACAATAATGAATTAAGAAATCATATGGTTAATTTACTACATATGCATAGTGAACTTACTATATATGCAGTGAATTGAGTTATCTCAAATTAGTTTTTAAAAATTTACATTAAGGAAAATACTTGGAATCGGGTATAGTGATGATTTCACCACTGGGTTTTCTCTCTCAGTGAGTTATCTAAAGATAAAACAGGTAGTATCATTTTATCCCTTTTTAGAAACAAGGGCAAGAGTCCAGTGAAAATGAAACTAAAATCCCAATTCAAACATGTGGCAGTAAAAACATAAATAGAAAGCACAATATCCTTGTTACACTAGGCTACAAGTACACAACAGAAAAGTAGGACATACCTTGATTACTGACTTCAGCTTGTATGCCATTTTAATTAAAGGGCATTTTGTGTGCTCAACAGAAAAAACTGGTGCTAAAGCAAAAAATACTTTGATTCTTTCAGCTATCTTTGGAATCGTAGAAAATGCTATAAAAGCTAAAAAAATACAAATTACTTGTATTTTGTATAAATTAGTAAAGCTATACTTAAGCAATTATTAACATGTAAAATGACCTCAGAGTAAAAGATTAAATTAAAAGTAATCCTTGAGGGCTGAGGATTTAGCTCAATGGTGTAAGCACCTACTTGGCAAGCGCAAGGTCATGAGTTCAATCCCTGGTACCAAAATAAAGAAATAAATAAATAGTCCTTGAACAATTGACTTACTGATTCATTTCTTACTTCATTTATCAAACATTTTTTGATCACTCAGTGACATTATTCCAATCAAAACGTAATACTGCTATTTAGTGTTGTAGAGAGAATTATAAAGGATAACGGTGAAGTAATAAAGCATACTTGAAACACAATAGTTTAAAATCAAGATTAATTATATTGAACAAAAATTAAAAATATTGGCCACTTGTATAACTAGCAATGATGAAAATGAGATAAGTTTTCACATAGACTAATTTTACACTTCAGGTGAGAGTCAATAAATGTAAAATTTTTAAATATTTAAAAAGTTCTTGCCTTACTTAAAGTATACTAAGTATACTTAATATACAGAGGATATTAAATATATGCTATTGCCTGTTTCAGTTTATTAACATGAAGATAGCAGTACTATTCCTTAGCATACCAATAGTAGTGCCCTGTGAATGGCCTACATAAAATATTTCTTTTTGTCCAGTTTGTTTCACAATGAAATCAATTGAAGCTGGAAGGTCATATTTAGCCATCTCATCGAAACTGCAACAAAGGGGGGGAGGATAAAAATTGTATTTTTTGTCAGTATTATATAAACATTTGAAGATAATGAATAAGGAAAATGAATAAAGGCAATTTCCATCCTTTTTGGATATCCTCAAGAAGTTTTATAGTATACTATACCTACTGACTAGAAACTTCAGTGGGGAACCCAAAGTCAAAGAAATATAGCCACAAGTAGTCTTATAAAGAGGGTTGTGAGTACTTCAGGGTAGATCCAAAATATAAATTACTAAGTAAAACAAGGATGAGGTTAGTCAAGAGGTTACCAACTAAGAAATAAAATTTACTAATGAAAAATGAATAAAAAGGTTTAATCAAACAAGCATTCCAAACTTTCAAGCTAAAATTTATAAAAATTTTAATGGACAGTACTAAATTGAGAAAAGAATGATACCTGTATTATACAACCCGCAGAAAAAGAAGGAAGCGGCAATATATTTTTAAAATGAAATGAAGTTACTTAATTTTATTTGTACCTGAAAGCCCAGAATTCTTGAGAATCTGTTTCTAAGTACACGTGCTTCCGAGACCAGGTGTTTCCTCTGCTGTTCCCCATCCACACATCATAACCAGCATCTGCCAGGACGAAGCCCAGGCTGTTGTTGGGAAGATTGGAAATCCAGTTGCTGGCAGATGCAAGCAAACCATGTTGCAAGTACACAACAAGCCTCCTTGCTGGGAAAAAAATTGAAGAAAATTTCTTTTTAAATTGAGTAAGAGCTACATGAAAATCTCTTTTCTGGTTTTCCTATTTCCATTAAACAATTTTATGATTACATTTTTCACACGCACATTCATTATTGGTGTCATGTATTACAGACACTATTTTGGCCACCTGACTTCTCAGAGGTTTAGTCTGTAATTCCAAGGGTTTTGAAAAATGACATATTACAAATAATGTAATTTTAGCTATAAGGGACTGCCCACAATAGGGTAGGAGGGAGACAAATCTATACTTTGATTAAAAGATGCAAAGGGGGAAAAATCCTTATAAATCCTTTGCCTCATGGTTAGATGATTCTGATATACTTCGTGCTCTGTAAGAAGAGAAGGAACCAGCCTGAGGCTAAATTTTAGGTAAAACTGCAGCCTTTCTTAACTCCTTTTTCTGCTCTCTTCCGTTTCTTCCCTGTCATCTTTGCTCAGAAATTCCCTCATCAAATTGTGTGCAGCCAAAGCTGGGTCTTGAGGAATCCTATAGAATCCTATAAGAATCCCAGTCTGTTTCTAGGGAGTTAACCTAAGAATTACCACTGTGTGGTCAAGTTAGCAGACATTCGAGGATAAGATTATGGAGTTGAATTGCTTACTGGCTGCCTGGACTTAAACATCATAAAGGCTACTCCTGATAAAATCTCCCTAAACCAAAGAAAGATTCTATTTTCTTCTAGGAGTACCCTTTAGGCAGTAATTAACCAATATGAAATGCAGAGAATTGTTTCCTGAAAGGAGTGATCAGCTTTGAAGAGCTATTCATGAGATCTGTGTGCACTTCTGAAATCATTAGACTCCTTCAGAATCACATCCTTCCTTGGCTTCTCCCCTTACCCATCTAAATTTTTGTAACACTTACTTCTGAAAGTACTCTATCAATAAATCATATATTCTACTCAGGTTCTGCTTCTAGAGCACTCTAACACACTTACAGTATTTTAAGATTACATTTAAATATTTTATTAGAGTATGCAAAATGAAGTTATCCCCTGAGGGGTATTTACTATTATTATGTTAGATCTTTTAAAAATTTCTCGCTATTAAATGTGATCTTTTTAAGTATCCAAAGTTACATTAACTGAGGTTGTTTCAAACTAATGTTTTCTCTGAAGTGAATTTTAATGTTTGAAATAAAAGCTTGAGACAATGTTCTGTAATAGAAGAAACAGTATCTCCAAGGAGAAAATCTGAGGAGAGAGGAAAAAAACTCTTGGTTTTTATTTCAGTAATTAGATAAAAAAAATAAATAAATCTACTACACATTTTACCAGTATATGGTGGATCTAGGATTACAGTCCAGGTCTTCTAACAATTCTAGTCCATTTTACATCACACTCTGCTGATACCTACTGTTGGAAAACAGAGCCATAAAGATGCTACCAATTTAATCTTTCTGCTATTACTGGCGGACAAAATTATAGACAAAAAAAAGAAATATTTACCAGCCTTTCTTCAAATCTATAAAATAATAATGCAATTGTTTTAGAGCATTTCTAGCCCCTCATCAAAGAAATTCTATAGAATCAACATGGATGATAAGTATGACTGAATGAAAACCGGGGAGGAATAATTTGTGATCCACCATACAGTGCTTTCAAACTTGTGTATAAACAATTATCCAGTACAGAATAAGATTTGCTTCTTGAAGTGTGCAGAAAGACACTAGAGAAGTTCACGTAACCTTAAAATCCTTCTCTTTCCTCAGCTATATTTCCTCAGAAACATAAAAGTTAAGACCTTCAAGTCCCAGGGTATCACTAGTCTATTTTCCTTGAATATTACCTGAATTATTATTGTTTGTCTTCCCGTAAGGAATTCTATAAAGGCAAAGGATATAGCCATCTTCAGTCACAATATTATACTCTTCATCAGGATAGCCCCAGTAGGAAATTATTTGGCTCTGGATAAAGAAAAATGTGAACATTTTCATAAAATTATTAACTGGTTATGTTTAATGGTTTTCCATTTATAATCTATTATTTAATTCTTTGTATTCTCTCTCAACCTGAGGCCTATGTAATTTTATTCTCATTAAGACACTGATTCATATAGGCAATAAATATTTATGGAACAGTTACTAAGCATAAGTCTTAAACATTAGTAATTCAAAGATACATTTTAAAAAATTTAAATCCCTACTTTCAAAGACATTACTCAAGAATCATCCTTCCAATATTTTCTTTCCTAAGCACTAGTCACTCGTATGTTTATATACTCACTCACATACAATTTAAAAATATTTTCATATGTATTCCTACATTTAATTTCAAATTTGTACATCACTGAGTATGTAGAAAAACCATGTATGTCCTTTATGCAGGCATTTATATATAAATTATATATATTTTCATCACAGAGGTAGAATATGCTGAAAGGGAAATGAATACAGAATAGTAGAGAAAAAACATTCATTGGTCAATGTCAAAATACATAAATGCAGAGATATATATTTGACTATACATTTATCAATTTAAAAACTCTAAAATCTGCAATGTGTCTCCTACAACTTACAATATTCATATTTGCTTCAGGGTTTTGATGTCCAAAGACACCATGAATACTTCCAATACTTAGGATGAAATATATCACTGGGCAATGGCACCACATTTAGGATCTACCTAAAAGGGGAGAGATTTAGACTATAATATAATACAAAATGTATTTAAAATTACACCAAATAATACCATTTACAAAACTACCCCAAATAATTATATTCATATTATTATTTTCAAATGAGAAAATTGAGACTCCAAATAACTAAGTAACTTGACTAAAGATATACAATGCATAATTGCGGGAATGATGCAAATTTGGGCCTGCTTAATTCCAAATTCCATCCTTTTTGGACTACCTTATTTTGTAACACAAATTCCTTCTTTGAAGTCTCCATTACATTTTTTTTCAATTCAATTCTCAGAGCTTTATTTTATACATCAAATTCACTGATGTCTGAATTAATGATATAATAGTATTTTTTCAAACTAACATTTTTCAAGACATATGTTTACTTGAGTTTTTTGTTTGGTTTTTACTAGCAAGAGATTAAAAGATGAAGGGGTCAGATTTGGAAGTCTGGTTAACTTTTATTCAACCTCTCAGGAGCTGAATTTTATTTTGTTTATAAAAATATGCATTCTGAAATATCTAAATTCCAGGAATCTAGAATATTTAAGTTCTTTCTAGGAAAATAAGCAAGAACCACAGAGACCACTACCCAGATTCTTCAAACAGTATGACTTTCAGATCTTATAACCTTTGTGTCAGTGAGCCAGACACTATGCCTGGAAAGACATTATGCAAATGTTATATCCTAGTTCTATCGTTCACTAACTAGTTGACTTAATGCAGGTTAAATGTGGTACCCTAGCTACAAAATGCAAATAATACTTATTTCTCAGGGTTATTATGAATCTCATATTTGATAAGTGTGACATAATAGTTTATTAGCATAATATTCATCATAACCAAATGCTTACCACAAACTTAAGAGCCTAGTTTACATGCACATCATTTATATATGTCATTTACATTTTAGGTTAGTCCCTGGAAAATATTTCTATAACTTGATCCACAAATTATGTGGATCTGAAAGTTCTAAACAGTATTTTTAAATGTTTTATAAATTAAAATTTTTCTTTTGATCAAAGCACATATTATATTTAGTATAGTATCTATGATTTTCATTGAAAGCACAAAGAAACCTTTAATGCATCATCATTAGGATGTTCTATCAAAAAGTAGAGAACTAATTTAAATACATAAGGAAACGCACTATAACAGTCAGAAATATATTCTAGATATTTCTATTTGGTCAAGTTCATAGAAAAGTTTCAGTTACCACAAAATAAAAAAAAAAAATTTGAACAATGGAATTGAACTGAGGATGCAGAAATGACCCCAGGTACTTTCAGCCATCTGATTTTTGACAGAGTGGAAAAAAACATACTCAGGAGAAAAGACAGTCCCTTTAACAAACTATTCAGAGAAAACTAATTATCCATACATAGAAGAGTGAATCTGAACCAATGTCTCTCACCATATACTAAAATAAAATAAAAACGGATCAAAGACCTAGATATTAAAACACAAAGACTAAATCTTCTGAAAGACAAAATAGGTAACACTCTTGAAGACATAAGTATAGGCAAAGACTTTCTGAACAGAACCCCAGTTGCATAAGAAAAAATACCAAGAGAAATAAATGAGATTATATTAACAGAAAGCTCCTGCATAGCAAAACGAACAGTGAATAGACAATCTGTATAACGGGGAAAGGTTTTCGCAAGCTACTCTTTGGACAAAGACTAATATCTAGAAATGTATAAGGAAATAAAATTGTTAGTAAAGCAGCAAGACTACTCCACCCTGTCCTCATAGGCTGTCTCAGATAGGTATATGGAAAATGCCTGAGAAAGTAATTCCTTTTCTGTACTAATTGATTTTGTAGTCTATTACATACTGTTTATATCTGTGATGAATGTATAGATTATCCTCCAACACAAGACATTTGAAAATGAAATGTTGTTTTTATCATTAATTTGGGGAGACAAGCGTGAATTGGATTGCCCATTAATATAGGGTATGACTGGTCATGTGCCATAGTGGTTAACTGAAATCTCTAGAACAAGGTTAGGAGCCACCTCAGCGGTAGTGATGGAAATGAGTAGGACAGCATCACTCTACCTGTCCTATTCCCAGCAGAGTCTGATTTAAGCATCTTAAACCTTGGCATGCTAATGAGTGGAAAGTCAGTTCTCCCTACACCCTGCTCACACCGCTGTGAGACAAGAGGCAGCAGGGGCAGTGAATTGCCTGAAAGCATTCACCCCTCCTGCTTCCTGGGATGTGAGAGGAGGGAGGTGCAGGGAGTGGAGCTGAGAAGGCTGTGCAGGGTTCAAGAGGTGCTGCCTGTACGGGGACTGGGAGAAACCTCAGGCTGTCTCTGTCTGAGGGCACCACAGCAACTGGGAGAACAATACAGAGACAGACAGGTTAAGGAGACAAGGGCATACAGAAAATTTCTGGTTGAAGACAGGCACCAGGCCCACATCCAGAGGTTAAGATCAGCGGGGTACATAGCACTAATGCTACTGCAGACTTGGCAAGGTTACCTTACTAGTTTTGGGCTCTGACTTCAACACCACCACATAGAGGACACCAGATGAATTTTATTGTTTGTTTATTGGCTGGTTGGTTGTTTAGGTTTTTGCTTTTATGGTTTGTTTTGTTTTATTCAGCTTTTTCCTCTCTTCAATAGACTTTCTTTTTTATATATATATATTTTTATGTGACTGAATATTATCTCTAGTCCTTCTGGTTCACCTCAATATTTTTTGCTTTCTACTTCATTCTTTGTTTGCTGACTGTCTTCTCCAGTTACTCAAAGGTTGGGTGATCATCTTTTATCTTTCAGCCATGCTTCTACTGTAGTTCTCTTCAATTTTTCTCTTTATGTTTCCCCTGTCCATCTTAACTCCTTCTCAAAAAAAATCTTAAAAAATGGTAAGATCACTCTACTAAAAGGAAACTCACAGCATATAAGTTCCTGGCTTATGCTGGATTTGTTAAATAACTGTGAATCTTGCTCCTAAAGTTAAAGGAACCAAATTAGTAACACAGATTGTCAACTGCTAAGCTGTATTTAATGTTATTATTATTGTTAAGTGTAGTATGTTAGCCAGGGTATGTCTGTTATAATTGAATATTCTCCTTTGTCTGGAATCATAATCATGACCATAGTCCAATCCCAAAGGACTGGGTTCTGAGCCAAATAGATAGCAAATTCTCATTCCTAATAAATAAGAAAGGTAGGGTCTTGGGACCTAGAGGACATCTCTGAAGAATAGACAATTCCTAGAAAAGCCTTGATATTAGTGATAAAGCCACCTATCATAAGCAATTTATAAGCATAAACACAGAAAAAATAGAAAGTTAAAAGACACAGAAGCACCCCCAGACCACAAATCCACTCCAGGCAAGGCCAGGGTAAAGAAGAGAAGAAATCAAAAGCCACCCATCTGAATTTTCTGAAATGGTAGTAGCAGAAATAAAAAAAAAAAAATGGATGAATTAGGCTATTGAGAAAATCAAATCAGAAATAATCTCTTAGGTAAAAGAAGATGATCAAAATGAAGGACTTGCTCAGTGAGTCTAGAGCAGATACTGCTAAAAAAAAAAAAATAGAGGAAATTAGGAAAATGATGGAAACCATGAATGCCAAACATGCAAAGAAATGGAATTCCTGAAACAGATTCAAACAGATACCCAGATTAAAAAATGCCATTGAAAGTGTATGCAGCTGAATGAAACACAGTGAGGATAGAATATCAACTCTAGAAGACAGGATTGTAGTCACTAATCATGAAAAGAAAGATTTCTTAAAAACAGCAAGGAACAATGAAAAATCACTCCAATAACTGAAACACAATGCAACAAGGAACATAAGACTGATTGGAGTCAATGAGAAAGAAGAGACAAATAAAAGATACAACAAACATGTCCCAGAAATACTGGCATAAAACTTTTGAAGCATGAAAAAAGGATTTGACATACAGACAAATGAGGCATATAGATTCCAATTAGTTGTGACCAAAATAAACCTACACCAAGAGGTTACAATAATCAATAATGTAGAAATTCAGCACAAGAACAGAATATCAAAAGCTTTAGAGAAAAGAAACATAAAAGACAGACTATCAGAATCACAGCACAACATGAAACCTTAGGTCAGGCAGAGATTGGAATGAAGTACTTCAAGTTCTGAAAGAAATTAACCTCCAACCCAGACTGATGCATCCTGCCAAACTATCTTTCAAAATCAGTGGAAAAATAAGACATTCCCATGACAAAGGACAACTGAAAAAATTCATGACTATCACACCAGCTATCTAAAAGGTTCTGAAGTATCATTTGTAAAGTGGTAAAGAAGACACATTCTCCTCCCCCCAAAAAGAAAGAATCCATCAAGCAAGACAAACAATTAAACAGCAGGAAAGAAAGGGAACCAAAATAAATAGGAAAATAAAATGACAAAGATAAGCCAATACATATCAACTATAGCCATCTACGTTAACAGCCTCAATTCACCAATCAAAAGAAATAAGACTGGCAGAATGGATCAAGAATCAAGATCTAATGTAGGGAGCCAGAGATTATTCACAGGTGTGGGGCTAAAGCAAGGCCAGCCAAGAAAAGACATGGAGACCAAAACAAGCCACGTAAAGAAGTTGTTACAGCACCAAGAAGGCAAGGGGCCCAGGACTGCAGGGCAAACAAGTTGCTAGGAAGTGGGACTGAACTTGACATTGTTTTTCAGGAGTGTATGGAGTTTATAAATAAAAGTGCTATAATGGCTGAGCAGTTCCTTTCCTCCCATCTGGAACCTAAGTGCTCTACTTGACCCAGCTTTGTCTTTTCTTTATTTTTCTCATCCTCTCCTGGTCCTTCACCCCAAGAACCTCAGGAGCCACATGGGTTGCAGAAGTCTAATAATACGCCATACACATAAAACACACAGCTTAGAAAGAATCATATAATGAAAGCCAAAGAATGGAAATTAATACTTCATAGAAGTAGGAACCTGGGAAAAATCAGGAGTAGCTTTCTATTTGCAAACAAA